TTTTTTTTTTTTTCAAAGACTAGATAAAACAAATTCACTTATGTTTTGGGTTTTTTTTTGGTTTCTTTTCTTCGTGCTTTTAAGAAAAGGAAAATCATCAGCGGGAGTTTTCTAATTGACACCGAAATGAATGTAGAATGGTCAAAAGGAAAAAAAAAAGAAAAAAAATAGGAAAAAAAAAGCGCGTTTCTATGAGCTTTACGCCATGAAAGGGAAGTGCAGATGGCGCGGGGACTTAAGGACCCGTTTCTATGGCGTCTGGCACTATTTCAAGCACCCTGGGTGCGATTCTACCTGTTAATTAGATCCGCTGGGTATTCAAGGCACACGAGGCTTTCACACGCGTCCCCAGTGCCCGAGGCTCCTCATTAGGAGGAGTAACGAAGGTCCTAGGGCCACTCTTCCAACCTGCCGTGAACTAAGTGCAGATGGAGGCTAAAAATACGAATAGGGACCTTTAACTCCTCTCAGGAGCGGGCAACATCAAAGGAAGCCCTGGATTGAGATGCTATCCGCTTGCCTGGGAGCGAGTTTCCTCSTATTTGTTTGGAAAAGAAAGGGGAAGAGAGAGGGAGCTCTGGCAAAAACGCCCTCTCTGAGGGCAGCATCCCTAACGGAGAGACTTCCATGAAAAATAATGAGCATTTACCAAGGTAGGGATCCTCTGCACAACTCTTATCATCCTTCCAATTGCAAAGGAAGCCACAACACGACATCTCTTGAACGAGAGTATCCAGTGCCTGATATTTTATGGAGTAATGGCTCAGAAATGCAAGAGGCTATTTCAAATAACAACAAAGTGCCCCAAAAGGGCTCCTTCTGCTTTCTGCCCACATTGAATATTTTTTTTTTTTTTTTGCAACTTTCCACATCCTGGAACACCTTGACATGTCAGGAATCTTCCCCTAGTAAAGACTGCAGGCTTTGACCCAGAGATTTGAGAAATTCAGCCATCATTTGCCCCACCATAACTTTAGCAAAATAATCCCAGTTAATCCAGGTATGAAGTAGTGTAACCATAAAGATCTGCAAGAGAATGGCATGGGAATTCCCAGGAAACCTCAGGGTAGGAATGCACAGCCTGGAGCCTCAGAACCAGATTTTCCCCTCCTTACAATGTTCCCATCATTAGCCTGGATGGATTTTAACTCAGGATTTTTCACAGATTAGTGGTTAGTTGCTGCTGTTGTGGGAGCCTCTGAGACAGCTCCAACACGAGGGGAATGACCATTGAAACCACCGAGTGTCAGCTACCATAGAAGTCAGTGTTGGTCAATGGGCCAGATGTTGCAGCCACAGCTGCTCCCTTCACCTTAATTAATTTTTTTGCCCCCCTAATAAATCTCCTCACATACCTTTGTGGCATCCCTGGTTTTCTCTGCATTTCTGCATGCAGAGGGTGTGAATTTACACAGAAAAACTAACTTCAGGTGCACTCCGCGTATGACAAACAGACTCCAGAAGAGAAGGGCAGGATTCAGGACAATCCATTAGAAATTCAGCCTGGAGCTGGAGATGGAAAATGAGTCATTCCCCAGAAGGGAGGGAGATAAAGATTACAAGGGAAGGATGGCACAAATGCGTCCCAACTGCCAAAGGTGTCAAGGGAAGCGATGAGCAAGGAAGGCTCGCGGGTGTTTTGTGACTCTCATTTGTTATTTAGGGGCAGTTGCTGAGTTTGCTTGATATTAAGATCCAGTCTAGCAGCCAATTACAGAGATGGGGACATAACCTGACCGCACCACTGAGGCACAACGCAGGGCACAAGCTCTTCCCCAAGCACCGTGTTCACAGCAAGCAGGGCTCAGCCTCTGTGTTTTAATCTTGTCCCCGCTTCAAAACACCTACTGCCCATCAAGGATCAGCCACAATGAAACCATGAATCCTCCACTCTCTGCTATTTCTTTTTTCTTTTTTTTTTCTCAATCAAGTCACTCAATGGGGAGCTTTTTACTAGCAAAGAAGCCTCTTGCTAATGTGCTCTCCTAATTGTGAAACTCGGGGTTGCTGCCACACAGTGATTCAGCGCTCGTGCCAGCGGGGAGCTCCCCGTTGCTTCGGAGGGCTGAGATTTATTGGCAGGTGATGAAGAGCAGATGGAGGTTATCAGGGGGTTGCCCTGGGTGGCTTGGTCTCAGCTTGTCTCGGGTTGCTCCGCTGAGAAGTTTCCTCAATGGAGTCTTTTCAGCCCAATGAGAAATGCTTGAGGTAAAAGAGAGATATTTACACTTTCTTTGTATCACTAAGATGAAACAAAATCATGTTTGAAAATCCTGGAGCACATGCAGAACTCTTTCCTCTAGGGAATCAGCAGAAATTGGGTTATAGCACCTTACACAGGCCAACACTTCCAAACACTTTCAACTTCTGCTGCTTCCTATAGCAATAGGGATCGCTCCGTACGCTGCCAGACAACTTCATCTTTCCAAAGACTACGGTTGGGCCTCAGGTGCCAACTCATTTGCARTCAGTGAAGCTTTAAACTYGCGTCSCTTGGGCAGCGTGTGGAAATAGAAGAGGGCTCCCTTTTGCTACRAGGCTGGAGACCTCTTCTCTCATGGGAGGATCTGCTCTGGAGGATGTTGGTTTGAAACCACCCTGCAACCAAGAGCAGGAGGCCGGAGGGGCGCAGGAAGCACCACGTGGAGCCCCACGGGTGGCGTTTATTGCAGCTACACCTTTCCTCGGAGCCAGGTTCTCAATGAACTCCCAGCAGTTAACCTTGCCACCCATTAAGCATCAGAGGACGATAGCTGGGAGTACTGGGGAACGCTCTGGAGAAGGCATCCTGCGCAGGGGCCTCCAAATCTGCAACTAATCCAGGTTTCCTGCTTCCCATATTGGAATTTCCTTGCACTGGCAACACTGGAAGCACCCTCCCTGTAGAGATTTTTATATAATTAACCATGACTTGGATCTTTGAGACTGGTGGGGCATGAATGGACAAGTGGGTTGCAAAGACCCCAAGACACTATAAATATTTTTTTTTTAGCTACAACTAGCTAAACTAGTAGTAATAGCAAAGCTTTTCTATAAAAGAATGATTTAACGATGAGGCAATTTTTGAGAGAGATGAAAAATGCTGGGTGTTCAATGCAACTCATTGCTCTTATTCACATCACAGCAGATTTTCATTGGTGTGACCTGTAATTTTAGAAGGAAGGAACTGTGTGGCAGTCACATTGTTTAAAAGCACTTTTCCCCCTTGAAAATTACAAGGAAACAGGAAAATTCAASTGTAACCCAGCCCAGCCTGTGTTCACATTATTTAATCAGCTGATTGTAGCTCACAATGGCAGTAAATGCCATTTAAGAGCAGGGGAAATGGCATTTGAATGCTTTTAAAGTATAGGTTTCAATATCAGCGCTGCAGTGGCTTGCATTAGGAGATTACCAGGCTGTGGGAACACACTGCAGCTCCTAACACCGCCGTCCCCAGCCCCTTACTCTTCATTTCTGCCCCGGCCACCAAAGGGACTTTGTGTGGGGCTAATCAGGCTTCGTTTCAGCCTGACACGTTTGGAAAGGCGGCCGTCGTTTGCAGCGATTGAAACCTTATTAAAAGAAAAAAACAAAGAAATCCGTGGTTTGAAGGCTGCTCAGCTCTGTCGCACGGAATTGGATTAAATGGAAAGTGATGGCCAAGAGGCTTTAAATGCTTTAAAATGATGCAGGAAATGCAGTATTCTGCTATGAAGTTTAGAAGTGACCTCTTTTGTAGCAGCTTAGCAACTACATCACCAGCAGATTTTGGTGTTCTGACGTTTTGAAAAAAACGTAGCTATATAATCTGGAAATTGGTACATTTTKTTCTTGGCATTGCGCTCCTCCTGGAGAATTTATATATTTTAGCCAAATGACTTGGTGGGGAAGCACGTCAAGCCTCAAGTGTACTATAGCAGCCCCAGGAGATGCTCAGCTCTGCCCCTTGACTATATAGGGACCCTGGAGTATTTGGGCTATAAGCTCAAGTCACCACGTAGCTGTGACAAAATCCCTCCTTTTCCTGGTTTCCACTAATAAAAGAGCATCTCTAACTGGGCTGGCAACACTCATCAAGCTGGTATATTATGAATATTGATTAACTAGTGTTTATGAACCCTTTGGAGAGTTATTTACTATAATGACAGTGCTGAACAGGCCTTTAACAAGATCCAGCGCAATCTTTACATGTTATCAGCCATTCCTAAGTGAGCGCAAATGCTGATAAGCCTGTGGGGGCAAAGAGGYCAAACATGATATATTAAAGACCATTGGCCAACTGGTAAGATGTATAGGAAAAGAAAAAGCAAGAAGCACGTGCCCAGAATATTAGAAAGGATCCTGGGAGGTAACAGTTATAAAATATGCATGTGCCTTCCCTGGGGAAAATGTGCGGGTATAAATGTACTGTGCTTGTGTTAATCCTACAGAAAGTCCTAATAGGAATCAGTAAGGAAAAGCTGGATAAATGGGAAAACCATAAATACTGACAAACAGTATTGGTCACCACTATCTCATCCAGAAAAAGAATATGTTACATTCTTCACCTTGGATGTTAGATTCCTATTCTGAAAGTTTTCTTTTAGCTCTCACAAAAATACATTTTCAAGAGGGGGCAATCACGGGAAAAGGAAGTGCCATAGGGCAGGTGAGGCTAGATAAACCATTTTTTTCCTGTGGCTTTAAAATATATTTGCTAGTTTGCTCGTTTTACACTAGAAAAACAAGGATTTTATTTGAATTAGCAGTTCCTGC